ATTTTTTTTAAAAATTGGGTCTGATTATTATTTTTTATGCATTATCTCGTGCAAAACCTATTTTAATATCTCGTGAAAAATTAACTGAATTAAGTCTTGCAGAATTTAATATAATGTATTGCTAAATGAATAATTCCAAGAAACTAAAGAGAAAAAAACTTCATTATATTAAGTTATTAATAAAAGTAGACATGTTTTGAGTGTTCAAAATGTCACGACACGAGTCATTCACGTTTGACTAGTTTTGATAATGGGCGCCTAAGTTTGAGTGCTTGAAATATGTCACATTTTATTACCATCTGCATACATTTGAAGCAAATGTTTCATGCACTCAAATATGGGCATCCATTCTCAAGATTAACCAAACGTAAGTGCCAAAAACAAAAACGATTTGAAACAAAAAAGTTGTCAACGGAAAATGTAAAATAAAGGGAAAAAACAAAACTTGAAATACCGCGGTAGCCGAGAGGGAAGTTGAATACCTTGTCAGTGAAATCTTGGACAAAACATGTTAAAATTTAGACTAATAAAACACGATGATGTCATAAAAAATGCGCTAGTGATAACGCTCTAATGATGGGCTTTTACCACTACAGTAAATTGTGCTTCTCAAAATTGGCTTTCATTATTTTAAGGGACTCCAGTGTACTTCTAATACATATAAAGTTTAGAGTGAGTTTTCTGATCCTCTCCTTGAAAGAAAGACGTTACAGATATTGAAAGGGATAATTGAATGAATAGCAGAAACTATTTTTTTCTCATCGTTGAACATGCGACAAAGTTTTAAATTTGTAGAAATTTGAGTTTGAAAATTACTTTTATCATGTAATTTCCGGCAAGTTAACAGTTGCTGTGTATCTGTTCAGAATTTTTGCGAAATTACCGCAAATTTATACAAACTAATCTTAAGCAAATCTGTAAGAATATTCCTCAATAATTGAGTTTTACAAAAATAAAAAGATATCGACACACGCCAACTATTACGCTTTTTGTAAGATATTTCATAGAGCGGTGGACATCTAAAAACCAACATTTTAAGCGCTGCATATGAACTTTTAACTCATTCGCTTGTAGTGCTGTTGAAAATAAGTTTAAATAAAAAAAATAATGCATTAAAACATAAGTGAAACTACCACTAGAATAAATTTTTGTAAAAAGCGTAGAAAGATAGTATCTCTCTTCATATAATGATCTTTTGTAGTTTTTCAGTAATTAGAAGGCATCCGAAAACCATATTCCCATCTGTTTATTTAATAAATAATTAAATCTTAGTTTAAGCTTTTTTTCTATCAGTGTAGCATCAAAGCTTAACATATCCTTCTTACAGTTTCCTGAATTTAGCTTTTTTTTAAGCCCCACTTATTTTCTGTTTGCAATGGATTGGTATTTTTTCTGTTCAGGTCGTCCTTACTTAAAATTTACTTATTTGAAGTTATTCTAGGTACAGTTTTTAAAATACCATCTACAAAATCCTTTAAACACTTTTTTTAAAAAAAAAAGAATGAGATTTTATATTCTGAAATAGCACAGATGGCAAAGAGGGCGACTATAAATAATACTTGCATTTTATAATAAATTTTTACAAAAAATCTTACCAAGAAGAGATTACGTGTTTGGAATTTTTATAATTTTTATAAAATCAGAAATTTTGATATCTATGTATTTTGGGGTTGAAGAGTCGAAAAGAAATAACAAATGAATTTTAGCTGAGTCAAATTGATATTAGAAGATATGAAATATGCCGACCAGGTGGCCGAGTGGTTAGCGTGCCTGACTGCGGAGCCGTTGGTTGCGAGTTCGAATCTTGCTCAGGGCATGGATGCTTCTTTCTGTGTTCCTTTCTTCTTTGCGTGATTGTGACCCGCCCTATAAACGGGTTTGTGGTTGTGTGACGTGGGCAACGCTGCTCCACAGGTGCCCACTGGGTAACGAGAAGAGAGTAGCAGTTCTGGCATTTAGAGGCCAATGGGACAATGCATCTCAAGTGCCCGCCATTTTTGAAGAAAAAAAAAAGATATGAAATATTTGAGGCCCACTTTTTTATTAGTCCTCTTAGACCCGCTTTTCTCCGAAGTTAGTATCTAATTTATTACATTAAAAATGTGAAGGTAAATTTCGCCTTTTCTTAAGCTTCTCACAGACACGATTCAGTAGATCAGCTTGCGAAGGAACAGAGGGTGTACTGTTCTACCGTAAAGTGCTCGACTTCAAGTATAGGCTACCAGAACGAGAGTCATCTTTTCAGCGTTGGATCAAAATTGTGGTGATTTTTCCTAGAACGTTTGTTGTTGTGAAGCAACTAAATAAAGTTTTCTTAAATATTTAAACTTGGATAATCAGCATAAGTTTCAATAAATTCTTTTTAATGAAAACCATAAGTAAGATTGCATTGGAATTATGAATTTTCACTTCAATTGTAAAATTCTAGAATTGAAAACAGTTGAATTAACGGGAAAGCTTAAGAGTCTCCAATGAACATCATAAATGCGTTTCTCAGAGGAGTGGATTTGGGAAAACTTTAACTAACGCCTTTTCACCACTTATTACAATAGTTTGTTTCGCCGCAATATTTAATTTCAATGTTTTGTTTCATCGCAACCAAATTTATTCCCCTTAGTTAATTAAAAAGATAATGCAAAGGAAGTATCATTTGTAATAATTTCTAATGTATTCACTAACTTAATTATAACATGTTTAGGTATACCAGAAATTTAAATTTACTCTTTTTCTGCAACGGTTTTGCGTAATTTAAGTAAACTAATTTTAACGCGTAATTTAAAATACTAAAGTGGGCGATTTCGCGAAGTTAATGTAACTTCGCAATTTAAATTTTCTTTTTTGCATAATTGTTAAAATGTATCACTTATGATGCAAAAAAATCAAGCAATTGATTCGAGTTAGTGTGTGATTAAAATTATGCGAGTTTTCATAGCAATAAATAGATTTTACTATGAGAGAAGATGTTGTTATCCTTCCATAGAAGAAATAAAATGAAACTTTATAATTTCGTAAAGAAAATATTGATATTTTCTAAAAGAGTAATTAAGTTTCTTCAAGAGATTAGTCTATTGAAAAAAAAACACTCTTATTTTATTTTATTCCTAGTTATGTCAATAATACAGATTTCTATAATTAATATTTTTAGGCACATGATGAATTTCTATCGAAACCTGTTTGGATCTTGCACCACAGGCTTCAAGTAAGGGCTCAAATCAATTATCAAATTATATATTTCATTAATTATTGTTTAAAATTATGTTCTCCTAATTATTTCCATTTCATGAAATACTAATAGATAAAATATCATGGAGTAAAACAAATAAATTAAATCTTTGCTGTAGAAGATGTTGATTTTAAAGTGATGAAGTTTGACTTCGTTAAGCTATTAAGATTAACATTAGCTGACCAGCCTCTTCAAGAAACTTTGGTGTACTATTTCTGTGCAGAGACATGACGAAGATCAAAAGCAATATTTATTGTATAAATGTACAGCATGCCTTGCCTTTAAATAAGAAAATAAGTTTTAGATTAATATAAAACATCGACAAAGTTATTTAAACATTACCATCGTTGGTGGTTTAAACGCGCTGATATCTGGTACAAATCCACAATCACTTATCACTGCTTTCGTTTTCTACCAGAATGTTAATTTTCCCTCCAAGCAGAAGAGGCTTTTGCATAACACATATATATGTTCACTTTATTTTAATATACATTTTGTATTACTTGATTACATGTCTTTGAGTAATTAATAAACATGTTAATTACTATGGCTTCACTGTAGAAACATGAAAGTTTATACTTTCGTTCAGCCTCAAGTTCTGTCTCTTTATTACTATCACATAGAAATTAATAGTTTTATGTTAGACCATGCAAAAGAAGCCGTGTATTCAGTTAGACGATTAGTTTATCGTTTTCATTTACAGATTCTATTTGAGAAACGCTGTAATTATTTAATTATTTGTTTGATTTTAGTTCTAAAATATGCTTAACTGTCTTAGAAGATGCCAAGTGATCAAACAAACAAATGTGTTGAGCAAAAAGAAATGTAACTAAGTGTTAACAAAGTACATTTTGTAAAATAAATTTTGATTTAAATGTACTAATTCAGCTTCTCTAGTTTATAAATTCAGCTTATGTTTCTATGCTATCGCAAATGAGTCTTGATTTCATTCATTTTTTTTTAAATAAATCAACGAGCATCATAGAGAAGTATGATTCGTTCACGTTATAACTGCAACCGAGAAGTAAACAAAGAGCATTAAATTAAAAACAATCGAGTTTCAACTATTCAATGGACTTACCGTATCTTTTTAGAGTTTCAAGAGAATCCCTTTGGGGATGGAGAAACTTTACGAAAAGCATCGTGATACTTACTGTTAGATCAGAGTATCCTTTAGTATATCGTTCATGTTTACTATTGTTAATTTACTTGACTCTCATGGTTTCAACTTTTACTACCTTTTATATTTATGATGGACCCACATAAAAAAAATCTCAATTGTTTTGATTCCTAAGAACCATCAATAATTCTCATTAAGACTTCACGGAAATATACAGCTGGTACCATCATGGATTATTGGTTCTTGAGAATCAAACTTTTCTCGATGGTTAACCATCATAGCATTAAAGTAGCATTATCCATTCATGGAATGATAGAAGTTTGATGGCATATCAAGCACCATTAATGCATAATGGAAAAAGTTGTATGATGGTGACCATCAAATGATGTTGGTCCATCATTAATCGCATAACTATCAACATAAACCATCAAAATATTTTTATGGTACCATCAAGAATTCTGATTTGAGAGTCCAACTTTCTTTTGAACAGTCTTCTAGCTAAAGTAGATTTTAAATATGTAATCTGCATTGATGATTACCACCAATTGCCTTATGGGAAACAATGCAACATTTTACTTGTTATTTATATTTATATATTCTTTTGTTTTATTCGCTAATTATTTTTCTTCTTGTGTCATTTTTATATGTAGAAATATAATGAGGAAATTCAACCTCACAAGTGAGAGAGATCTCCGCCGAGAGAACGTGTAAGTATTCATCACAGATTCTATCTAATCATCGGGTATAAACAATTTTAAACTTAATTGTAATAAATCATCCTACAGGACTAAATAAGCTGAATATAATTTATAATGAATCTCAGAGTCAACGGTGAAACAAAAAATAATAAGAATAAAATAATTTAATTAGTTACAATTAGTAAAAAGAGATGGGAAAAATCAGTTTATTTATATTATGTAGCATATTTGTTTTATTTTCAAGAGAGTAATTGCGTTAGTACTGATAAACCAGCGATTACGCGAAAAAGTAAACATCCGCTTTTAAGCCAAAACAGACCAGTCAATTAATTGTGAGGGGTGTTAGTTCGGAGATATAGGTCGCCAACTTTCAATGCATAAAATGATCTCTCTTCGCTCCTTGTCACCACATTCCTATTTGATTAAGGTTTTCCGGTTCGCCTTTGTTGATTGCTTTGTTGGCTTTGCTGGTTTTCCATGTACCACAGTGGACTGATTATTATGGCTGCGGTCAGTATGCGGGTGGGTGACCAATTGGATCAGTCTGCGTAGGGACCGAGGGTGTGAGGTATTAGTCCTCGTTAAACTGTTCTACTGTAAAGTGCTCAACTTCGCGGGCAGGTCGTTGGGCTACCGAAGCGGGGGTACCATCCCCTCTGCAGAGGATCAAAAATTGTGATGGCATGTCTTCGGATCATCCTCAGGGATGTTTCCCAGACCGTCGCAAATAGCCCGTTGTGCAGCTCTAGTGCGACGTAAATTAACTACAACTATAACAATAGTTTTCCATATTATACGTGGGGTGTCAATACTAAAGCTTAGTTGGTCGGGTGTCAGACTCATGTACCCGTATAGTTAACGATGACTGGTGCCCCTTAAGTCTGTCGGGTCACAGAAACCTCCATGCTCCTATTACAAATCATACCTCTGAGGGTACTGAATAGGAGATTGATTTTTCTCAGGTTCAGGTTAAAATTTCAATCTGTGGATGAATGAATGAATGAATGGCTGTATGAATAGACCTGCTCTGTAAACGTGCTGTGACGTGTCTGTGAAGCAAAAGTCGAATTTTTGGCCATAGATGGTGCCATTGAAAAACAAGAAGAAGCGCACCCCCTTTATCTTCGTGGCATACGACAACAGCATCAATAATAAAGTGTTCTATAGAAAGCAATATGAAGCAACCAACAGAACCTTTTTTTGTCACTTACGCATTTTATTGTAATAAGTAAGACGCAGCTCTATTAGAATCAATGTTTTTATTGCTTTCGAAGGCAAAGGAGTGTATGTTCACTCAGAGGTTTTTCACTTTTTTGGGGACTTTAGTAAATGCTCTATGGTTAAAACGTAGGTAAAAGCTTAATAGTAACCCTAAACTGAAAAAAAAATATTTGAGAGACATGATGTGTATACAAGAAAGATAGTAAATTGTGGCGACATTAGAAAATATTACTCAAGGATATTGTATCATTCTAAACATTGATGTACGAAAAAAAAACTTGGATCTAATTTTCACGCTTTTGGACTCAATCTTAATGGTCTAACCATAAAAATGCTAATTAACTAATGCAAGCGATAACACAAAAGCATAACTTCTCCAATAAACATACCTTCTTTTTCTGTGAACCCATAAAATATTGGAAGCGATACATGATTTTGATAATTCAATCAAGAGAGCAATCGAATGTTTGCTTATTTCGCTATTATTTGCTTATATAACTTTTTGCGTATTTCGCTATTACAAAGAAGTCGTATTTTTAAACTTTCATCACTCGAGAAGTAACCAGAGGGTTTCCTTTGCATTTTGAGTTTTATCTTTCAAACTACGAAGATTTGAAATATTCGTAATATTCTGGTGTTAAAACGTTCATGCCTTAAAATTCAATTTTTTTTACACCAGAAGTAAAAAGAGATTAAGGAAATAATTAACAACTATTTTTTATATGTAGATATCCTTGAATAAGACCATTTTATTGTGTACAAAAATGTTCAAATTCGCTTCGCAATAGTTCCGGAGAAATGGCGAAATACAGAAGGAATGAAATAAAAATTTGTTGTATTTAATGCCGCTTGCCAAATCCAGCAAGCCTACTTAATGAAACGAAACGAATTAAAACGCATGAAGTGTCTTTCTTGTTCTTCAACTGCGCCATCTACGCCAAAAATGCTACAACCAAACACGCACATCACAGCCCGTTTTAATTGACCTGAGCCAGCGAACGTCAAATCTCCAATTCAGTTCCTTTAGAGGTATTTATTTGTTATGGGAATTTTAGGGACTGATCCGACAGATTTAACGTACACCAGTCACTATTTAATGCAATATATTTGGCCTGCAAGGATCGAACTCACGACCTATTAGACAAGTTCCCAATGCCCTATTAAACAGGCTATCTCGGAGC